GTTCACACTTTATATCTGAAAAGTAAAGGTGAGATGATGCCAAATATTAAATCATCCCAAATACCATAGGATCATCACTGGCAAGCAAAATTATTTATTTGATTTTGAAGACTGAGATAACTAAACCATTTTTTCTAAAACCAGAAGTCTCAAACCAGCATTTTAATAGAGCCTAAACATCATTTATGTAAATATTATAAATGTATAAATGAGCACCATAAGGAAAAACTGTGTAATTGCCATAATTTCCTCATTTATTTATGTGCTCATTAGAAAAATAAACTCTTTCCTAGTTCTAGGATTTATAGAAACTAAGATATATAAAATGTCAACGATGTATGTACTATTTTCTGAAATGACATACATTTCCACTCACAAAATAAGAACACTTTGCAAAATAAAAACAAGAAAAATTGTATCTCAAAGAATATTAAGGGTTTTCAAATCATTAAGTCCAGTTTTTATGAAGAACAGGACCTCGTTCCTGTGGTATACTCACAGTTTTAAGTAAATTCAAATGACCACCTAAAGAAACATTCCTCTTTTCAATGTTTCCTCTTCTAATTAGTTCAAAGAAAAGAATCTGAACTGTTAATCTTTTTAACAAAAAGAGAGCTTGCTTTAGTTTAGAGCCTTGACAACTCAATGCTACGTACTGCTTTTTTTTTTTTTTTAGTTCATGTGTTTTGTAATAATGTAGGCATTTCTCACTATCATTTACTGTTTTTATAATAGATATTTAGCAACTCTTCAAAATGTGCTGGCCCTTCCTTGTATTAATTAACAAGGTTATCACAACCACAGATAAAACTACTGAGTGCATGGACATTATTTTACATTGAATGCTTAATATAATGTATAGTTAGAAAAAACATCAAGAGATTAATAGGGGTGTGATAGATGTATGAGTACTTTTGTTTCACTCTTGAAGTTCTATAATAAGTAAAACGCAATTTGTTATTGGTGCTGTTGTTGTTGCTGTTGCTGTTGTTGTTGCTGTTGCTGTTGTCACTGCTGTTGTTATTTCTGTTGCTGTTGTTGCTGCTGCTGTTGTTGCTGCTGTTGCTCTTGCTGTTGTTGTTGTTGCTGCTGTTGCTGTTGCTATTGTTGCTGTTGTTGTTTAAGGCTGGGTTTCACTGTGTCACTATGTAGTTCAGGGTGATCTTAAACTCGGTGTGTGTAGCCCAGATCAATTTCAAACTCACAATCCTCCTGCTTCAACCTCCAGAGTGGGAGTGAGAAGCACATATCACCTTCTCTGGATGTAAAATGCAACTTTATATAACATTTTTAACGTTTTGAAACTTCTTGGCAATTTAACATAAATTATGCTTTTATAATTGTTTTAAATGCTTTCTGCATTGCACTTAGGGTTTTTTTTCCCCTTAAAAGTTCAGAATATCATTTTTCTTCCTGAATAAGTATAACATCAAGAGAGTTTTAACATCGTCCCAAATGCAAACTCATGCCAAGTGCAGAAATAGACAAACAAGGTGGGAAGGAAATGCCAAGTTCCTTTTGATTCCTCAGACAAGGTAACAAGACCAGAAGAGTCAAGCCAATTTTAAATGCTTTTAGCATCCTGATCAGATAAACCAATTTAGTTTTCATTTCTGTCTCAGCATTTCTAACAGAAAATGTGCACTGCAGAGAGGAATCATTGCAATGGAAAGCCTCTTTGCAGAGTCTCCAAATGTAGACATCTGAATGCCCAAGCCTTCTCACCAGGCCCAGCCTCTCATGAAGGCAACATCAAGTATCTAAGCACCCCTAAATATTTTCTTTCCTTCCTGTGCCCCAGAGTTGATGAGGAATCCAAGTCTCAAATATCCTAGAGGCCAAGTTCTACTCCCATAAGAGACAATCTCCAGGGCCAGTGTAAGTCCAAGGAAGAAAAAAGTTAACCTTGAAATGATGCTGATTTAGCCTAAACGCTGTAAGTTATTTCTAATTAGACAATAAAAAGAATTTCATAACTTCTTTTTCTGTTTTTGAAGAGAACACTGTGTTGTGACACCACACAAATGTCCCTTGACATTTTGTCTCTAACATACAATTTATTCTTTTAAAATCAGGATTGCTTGCTTTATTAACAGATCAGAAAGGCTTATTTCATCTTAAATGTTTCCAGAATGTAATTTTTTTCTGAGGACTCTACTGCAGTAATATAAACTTGTACATATGGTCACACACAATTACAAGCTTAGAAGAAATCATAATTCCATGACTTCATCACAGTGGCTTTCGGGACCGGAGCAGGGATTACAGCTGTGTTCACTCTACTCATTATGGTCTTCATAAAAAAAAATCCTTCATAGGAAACAATAAACTCCTTCAAATTATCTTATAAAAATAAGGCACTATATAAATAGAAGAAATATATATATCAGTACATAAATGATTTCTATTTAAAGCTCCATACATTATTGTAGCAATTTATGACAGCCTCCTTCCTTTAATTTCACACCACCAAATTAAAAAAAAATGGTATTTCCAGATGGCCAGGTAAAACAACTCCATGCAACCAAGCATACCCATGAAGAAATAAGGAAAATTAATATTTATATAATTTTCAAATAAACAGGAAGGCTGATAAGAAAACTCTTCAAAATGCTTCATTTTGGGCTTGTGTATTATATATTACAAACTCCTCCAAAGACTTTGAATGATTTTACAATGTGTTTTTCAACTTTAAATCCTATCTCATATGAAAGCTGTTACCATAATATCAGGAAGCAGCTAATTGAAACACCAACAGATAAACAAAGTCTGCCTTACTTTCTCCATGCTTCCCCAGAGCCAGTCTTACAAAATCAGACATCTGTTAAACCACGGCTATCATGACAATCTGTTGCTGCTGATAAAAATGGGAAAGCTAGTGTATTAAATTCTAGTGTTAGTAAATGATAAAAAGAATGGAAAAAGTATATCAGTAGAGAAGATATTGAAGGCATTCGAGGATTGTAACTTCCAAAATATGATCCCCTGGTGTGCTGATTGCTTTAAAGAAACTAAGCAGATGCTGGAGGAGGCTTTAACCTGATTAAAATCCACATCCATCATTGACAACAATTATCTTTGGTCCCTTCTCTGAAGTTTCATTGACTCAATTTATGTCATAGAAAAAAAGCTAGAAATCTACCAACACTCATAGCAGATTTTTGTCATACACTTTGTCTTCTATTTTGGTCCCATTCAGTGATACAAACAGAATTATGTATAAACCATTGTTTGATCTACAAGCCAAACAGACTTTCTGTGACCATCAAATTCTTCTAAACATTATTTACTCTCTCCCTTATAGTCATCTACATTTTCTATTCTCCCCTTACACTAAGGGGTAAATCACATTGAGGTAGTGAGTCATTACCCTTTGTGGTTACTCCTATACCCAGTAATAAGTTTATGTGCCTTTCCTCCAGTTAATCTTTCTTTCTTCAGTTCATTCCAACAAAATTTGGGAGCATTACAGAACAAAGTGGAACAATTTTGGTACAGTGCTGCTTAATGTGGTGTGCAACTATTTCTCAAACTTTTTGCAAGGAACTCTAATGTTTTTAGATTAGATATTAGGGTGTTCCTAACTTTTTCCTCTCTGCATTCTGTTTGCTATGGATTGAACTCTAATAGTTCTTTTACTTTTGTTTTTCATTTGTCTTCCTGTGGAAGTGTATCATGACACGGGTTCTTTGCTTAGCCAAACTTTAGTCAGTCTTCTACAGCTTCTACTACACCTAACTGTGTGCTTTCTTGTAAAGTCCCAATTCAGCAAAAGTAGTAGTCAGTTTTCCTGTCACTGGACAAAACACCATACACCAAAAGAGGAGAGGTTTCTTTTAGGGCCACAGTTTTGGTGGTTTCAGTTTATGGTCAACTGGCTCCAAAACAAGAACATCACAGCAGAGGGACATGCGGGAGGAAAGTTGCTCAATCCCTGGCAGCCAGGAAGCAGAGAGAGGAAAAAGTTTGGAACACTACTATATACTTCTAAGGCAGTTTAGTAATAAACTCCCACCCTAAATATCTAAACACCCTCATATTTAATACAACTCTTTGCTCTCCATTCTTGGTATCTGATCACCCTTCCTACTTTCAGCAGGACTCCTGTTAGTCTAGTTTAGCCAGAATTTATCCTAGACTTGATTCGTCTGCTTAGCAATTTTCTATTCACTGACCTACTATTTCTTGGCTATAAACCCCTGTTAACCCTGGCATATGAGTATTCAAGGTGGTACCCAGTTCTGTATTGGGATCTCTCTTCCTCTGTTCAATAGTCCTGGATAAAACTTACCTTCACCAATTTAATTTCTGTCTGGCACTGGTCTTCGGGAGTCTTGAAGAATATGCTTAGAAAAGACCCAACAACACCTGACAAAACTTATAGACAAGTAGATAGTTCATAGCCTGAAATGCAAGAAAATGTAAGGGTGTATTATATACTCATATGATGCTGTAACACACAAAATGTCTTTCCCTAAGGAGCTTCTCAAAAAGTGGTCAGCTTATATCTTTCAATTATAAATGATTATCAGCTCCATATCTACAGGCATACAAGTAATATAAATTAAACCAACTATCATTTTTATATTCTTCCATTAAAATATTAATATAATTGCTTATCTATAATTGTTTTGCTCCCTTAACATAAGCAACTGTTACTATTCCAAGCACAAATAAACTGTTAAATAAGGTCCTCTTAAAAAGTGCTTATTATATTTTCACACCCTAAGCATTAAAACTGTGTCTGAAAAAGAGACCTAGTGAATATACTCACCTATGAAAACAGAACCACACACTATGAAACCTGGTATGTATGAAGGTAACAATAGAATTTTTCAAGAATGATTTTACATGATGCAATGAGAAGTCACTTTGGTTCATAATACCTACTAACATCCAGTAGTGGAGTAACGTAAAGTATTTCTTCATGCTCATGATCAAACTGGATAGAAGTCCTTTATTACCCCCAAGGAGAGCAAAATCATAGTACAAACAAGACATAGAACTCTCAGATTTTTATTTTCGAAAGTACATCCAGCTGTACGCCAGTAACGTTTGAACGAAGACATAGGTATAGGAGACTTTATAGTGGCCTCCTGCCTTAAACTGGCTAAAGACCCTCAGAGAGTGTAACAGGAAAGAATTCCAGGGAAGAGCACATGGGAGGCATCTCAGGGTATAGCAGAGGTGCCACCGGTCCAGTCTGGGAGCAGCTTACTTGCCAAAGCTCTTCCTGCCTCCATGGTGCAGGGGACTGAGATGACTCTGGGGATCCTGGGCTTTGGTGGAGTGTACAGCCCAGGACCTCTTCTGTAGCCCCATCTGGAAGTGACAAAGCAAAATAGCAACTGTAGATGTTAGCTCAGAAATGAATTGTAAAAGAAAGAAAGAAAGAAAGAAAGAAAATGGAAATGAATTGTAGCTCTAGAGAGGCCAGGTAACCAGATGGAGCAGAGTTCAGATTGAGGCAAACACAGGCATCTGGCCCTGCTAGCGTGAGTCAGGTACTTCTCCCAAATCTGGAGATTTTCTGAAGAGGACAGGTATGCTGAGTAAACTTGGAGAAGGACCAAAAGATACATGAGCTCAGCCGGAATCATCTAGATAAGGTTTCCTAACATCAAGGTGATTAAGGTCAAGGATATGAGATTACAACGATATTCAGGAAAGAGGGACATTTTCACATGCAGTGTCACTGGTGTACTTAACAGTGTCAGGTATGGTACCTTTGGTGAGTTCTGATCATTCTCATTTTTCCTCACTAGAAAATCAGTGATGACTCTGACTCAGAGTAGCCAAGACAAAGAAGCCCGTCTTTCCTGAAATCTCTGCGTCCCTCTCATTCCTGCTGTCAGCACTTGCAACTGCTTCTTGGCTTTTATTCCCGAGCCATCACCTTCCCTGATAGCCTTACAAATTTCAGTTTTTCAATGTTGAACCACTATCAGCAGATTTCTATGAAAGTTTTGGTTTCCTTCCAATTTGCTCAATAAAATATTCGTTGTGAGTATGCAACGAGACAACCTTTTTATCTAACCTCAAATACTGAACACTCTGCGTCTATGTTTCTGGGGTCCATGTTTTCTCTGCTCCAAAAGAAATTTGTAGATATAAGGAAAGACAAAAAAGAATCAGGTGCTTTTTGTCACTTTGGGGCACTCAGTAATTACTTCTGGGGAGGGGAGGGTCCAAAACAAATAAATGAATCTAAACTGAAAAGCAGATATACCATTGCACACATTTGTGAACACTGAAATTTTTATAAAACACCACTAAAATGAGGATGATGTAATATCAGACCACACCAAATTCTAAAGAGTACTTACCACATTCTGCTTATAGTCACAGATTTCTTTATTTACTTTCTAAACCAGCGTATCAACTCCTTGAAAGGAATTACTAAATCTTGTTTCTTGTTGTCATTACCAATCCCTAGACAAAGCCTCAAACATAAGTCAATAAGCATTCATGAAAGAAAAAAATAAATTAGTGAAAGAAGTTTTCAATCATTACATTCATGAATCTATCCAGTTTTCTGTAAAATATACATCAGTGAAAATCACAAATTGTTCTTTCTCATATTCTGCTCTGTTTAAATGAGGTCACTTCACCAAGGACTAGCACTTCCTTGAATCATTAACAACAAACCACAATTTCCACTTCAAGGTAAACAGGAAATCATGTCTATGGCTGACTGTTGGCTGTCCCTAGGCTAATGGAATCTTTCCATTAAAGGGAAGTTCTCCCATAAATACATAAACTGACCAATGTGAATTGAAACTTTGAACTCTGACTCAATTCGGCCAGCAATGTCAATACCTCTTTTTACATTTTAAATAATACTTGCTTTTGACATGACAACTGGAAGGAGGGAAATAAAAAATCAATCTGCTACCAGTGGCTGGCTAGGTTAACTCTACGTGAGTTATAGTTTTGGAAGGCACTATAACTATGTGTGTTATAGTTTCTTTCACAGTACCTGTCTTAGTTCCTTTCTTTTCACTAGGGCAAAATACTCAAGCCCCACAGCTTAGAGGGAGAGAGGTTTGTTTTTGTTCATGTGTCAGTAGCTTCAGTCTGTACTTCAGACCTCCAAGAAAGAAACAGGATGGCAGAGGGACATAGCAGAGGAAAGCTGCACACATCATGGTGAGCAGGTGCAAAGAGTGACTGAAGGAGCTGGGACGACCGAGATGTATCCTTCCGCCTCACTCCCACAGTGACCTGCCTCTTGCAACTAGGCTCCACTTTGTAACAGCAAAATTAGCTACGACTTCATCAGTGGATTAATCCACTGATGCACTAGTGACCTTGGGATGCAATCACCTTCCACGAACCCCACCTCTGAACATGTGAGTCGTTTGGGAGACATCTCAGATCTAAAGTATAGCAGTGTCTAATTTAGTCATCTCAAAATTCCTGTCCACTGGAGAGTTTTCCTTTCTCCATTTAATAGATAATTAACTGTAGCTAAGGGACTCGATCAGTCAGTAGGTTTTAAATGGTACATCTAGGTCTTCTAACCCTATAGCACCTAGTACCCTCTTCTGTACCTTGCTGTCTCTTCTGTAGAAAAAAAATTTTTGGACTATTTTTTGTAGAAAACTGGGAGCAAGACTATTTTCTTACACATAACATATTAGCCATCATAATTATGATTGTGTATCAGTAACACCAAAGATAAGGACAAAACAAGTGTAACTGCTGTGTGTCTTTTAAAATGTCTAGGGCATAAAAATGTATCTTTGCGTAATGTATTTTCCCGAGAAGATAAATGAGTATGTAGATGCATTATCTCATTTCCTGTGGCAGAGCTTCCCTCTCCTGGCTTGGAGTGCAGACCGAGATCCAGCGCCAGCCGGCAGTTCCTGATGGATCCTGGCCGGGACTCCTGGCTTCTGGACAGCTTCCTGTCACCCAGAAACCTGCAAGGAATATGCAAATGTCCCGTGGAGATCCAGGCCACAAAAGTGGATTAAACCCTGAAATCTTATCTGTTTTCTTCTGTTTAAATCACAACACACTGACTTTCATTCCATACATAACACTGACTCTTGCTAATGCACGTAAGTGATTTGTCCATAAATTCACAAAGAAAAGGAAATAGGCACTGTTTGTGATTGTTCCCAGCACACAGCCTAACTCCTCGTGCATAGGTGTGTCCAGAGTCATGACTTCAGTAGGTGTGTATGTGTGAGATGTTACTGATGAGGAAGAAAATATCCCACTGTCCCCCTTTTCTTTTAAGAGAAGCAGATTGATGGTCAGGGTAGTGGGTTCTTGGATGCAAAGGTAAAAAGAAAGGCAAATTTATCTGCTTGAGTAAATATAAAGATATATAGATATTGGATGAGGATTTGAAAAGCAGAGAAAGATAAAAAAGAAGCTAGAATCCCTGTAATGATGAAATTTTTATAGAGAAGGAAGCCAACAGTCAAAGAACTTGAAGAGGGTTTGGACAGAATTTCTAGCAGCTCTTCTTTAGAGGTTCACTTTATCATATCATCAAAGGTGCTACCCTCTCCAGTTCCCACAAGATCTTCAAAAGAGATATATTATTATCAAATAAAATGACTACTACACCCCAATAATGTGAGAGATTTGTTTGAAATCACCCAAGGAAATTCTAAGTTTCTTACTAACTTAATGTTTGCAGGGCCTTTTCATATGCGCAAATTCGGAGTATTTTAGAATGGCAAAGGCCCTCAGAAATTTTTATGTAATATTGTTCCTCTACAGAAGAGGAAGTTGGATAGAGAGAAGTGAACTGACTTTTAATCTACTTCATCACTCCTAAGTGTGATTCTAAGATGCACCAAATAGAATGCTATGAATTAAATTTTTATTTTTTAGAATTTTGTTATATAGGAATTCTATTACAAAAATGAGTCTATTTTTAGCAGAAAGTGACAGTAAAAGATACATTAAAAGAGACATATTATTATAAAGAAACATAAGATGTACACCAAATGCAACACATAGATTTTGGTTAAAACCTGATTTTTTTAAAACCTGAATAAACCAATTATAAAAATTAATTGTTCAGATAACCAAGAAAACTGAATATCAGCAAAGAATTACCTTCTACTAATAAATTATTAATAATACTTAATAAACCAGTCCTGTGATTTTTTTAAAATACCTGACACTTTAAAAATAAACAGTGCACAATGTAAGGATGATATCTCATCTGGGATTTGATTTTGAATATTTGAAGAGAAAAGAAATAAATCAAAGCTGAGATAAATTTTTTTAAATGGTAACTTTAGAAGTTTGATAATAGTTTATTTTGATCAATTATATTTTTCTTTCTATCAAACATGTTTTGGTTTTATAAGAGAAAATATTGAAAGCTTTTTAGAGTTATAATACTTGAATTTTATTAAATGTTATATGTTAAAATATGTTAAATATAGTGTTTGATTGTTTTTGAAACTTCACATTCAAAACTAAACACATCTAAATCATTTTAAAATGACTAATTTAGAATAGTATATTTACAAAGAAGTTGCAAAAATAATACAGAATTTTTGGTGAATTCCTAACATCTTGTCTAGTGAAACTCTACATCATTTCCAATGGGGTTTTTGTTTTTACTTTTCATTCTCTTTAATGGTTTGATCAATCTTGCATTCTTACATCTGGTAATCTGAGCAACTTCATTGCAGATAACAATATGTAATATAACCACCACTGTTAATTCATATCATTTTATTCTGAAGCCCTGTATCATTCTTATTGTCTTTGCTTTGTTTTGTTTTTGTCTATGCTGTTGGTATTTTGCTATTGCTCTTTTTTTATTCTCTTTAAAATAAATGTAAAGGGCTGGGGATATAGTTCAGAGGCATAAGTGCCTGCCTGGCAAGCTCAAGGTTGTGAGTTCAAGCTCTGGTACTGCAAAAAA